TTTTACGGTCACTAATTAAAACCAGTATTTTCCTCCACTAGTCCGCCCTCTGGGTCAACATCCACATCCTCCTCTGTTCTCTAGAGCTCAGAACTGATGCTTGGTTCTGTTGGTCCAGTCAGAGCGGTTCTGGACCCCCTCCTCTGCAGAGTCAGACCTCCTACTGGGGCTCGCTGCTCTCTTCCTCTTCTAAAACAAGTCCTGATCATCCTCTTCATCAACAGAGTCCTCTCTCTGACTGTTTTCCTCCTTCATGATCTCCTCCATCTGAGAGGTTCTGACTCAGTGGTTCCTCTCTGGGTCTGCAGCTCCTCCTCCTCTAGGTCTGCAGCTCCTCCACTGGTCTGCAGCTCCTCCTCCTCTCGTATGCAGCTCCTCGTCACGTTCAGAAATGGCCTCATTGTTTAGACTCAAACACTAACACTGACTAAACTAAACACTAAACTACAGCCCAACTGTAAAACTCTTAACACTAAAGATCACAAATCTCTCAGACCTCATGACTCCCTCTCTCTGACTTTATCGCGCTGAACTCCGTTCAACTTGCGTGTCTTTTTCTTCTTCCTGTACATTTTTTGGCACTTCACAAATAACTTGGAGCCTCCGTCAGAAAGGAGGGGGGTGGTTGTTTATCTGTTCGGCGGGGGTTGGAAGTGGAGGGTGATGGGGGTGTTTTGTCCCTGAGGCCGACTGTCTTTGCTGCAGCCTCTCGCTCTAACGTGCTTCAGATATGACGATGATTTTCAGACAAACGTGGATTATTGATCTGAACTCTGGTTTTACTTGGTCTATCAACACAATTTAACAACTGGTGTGAAAAGAAAGCTCTGTTATTTTGACACAAATTAAAATGGAGTCGCTGAGATGCTGTGTCTTTCCTGATAAAGTGACTGAAGTTAGTCATGTGACCATCATGTGCCGGTGCTTCGATTTGCTCCCAAGGGGAAACAAACAATCGTCAGTCAGCGTAGACGGTGAAATCACTGCCTGTTATTGAGAAGGTAACATTGCTAATCTGGCTACTAAACTCAAGCTGAAGCTTGTTTTTTTTTGGGTGTGTGGAAATAAATTCTCTTTTTCACTTAGAGTAAGGAACACCTTAGTAGCTGCTACTTCCACTGCCAGGACTCACCTCTTCGATCCTTTACTTCAACGTAGGTTAATGTTAGGAAGTCGATGTTTCAACCATTACCTGTTCACCTGGTCTTTATTTGAACTGCTGCCTATGCTTCTCTTTCTGTTTGTTCTCACTCCTTTACATGTCCTCCCATCTTGTCCCACTATCTGTAATGAAATATTGAATATGCTATAAATTGTAAGTGAAGAGAGATTTTTATAAATGTCTTCCACCTCGTTCAGTGTAGTTCCTGCTTTGTCAGAGGTTTTTTAGCAGCGGCATGCTGTTTAGGGACCACTATAAATCAAATAGTAGCTACGAGTTTATTTCTTGCTGCAGTGATGGAGAGCCCTGCAGTGTGACAGTCACTGTGACTAATGCTGTCCCACCTGAGGGACGGTCTCCTTCTGTTGGTCTCACGTCTACAGTTTGGCTGCTCATCAGTCTGATCTGTCCAACAACAGCTGCTGACATCATCATTACTCTTCTAAAACCTGAATTGGCTTCCTGAAAGGAATGGCTCCTGTTGTCCTTAGAATACAGACAGGAAGTCCCTTTTAAGGTGGAGAGAAAGACAAAAACCGTTCACATCCCCCTTTCCTTCGTACTGTGGTGTGAGATATTCAAGTGGGTCAGAGTTAAAAGGTTTACATTAACAGAGGTAAGTTTTGTTCTTTGTCTTGTACGAGGCAGCGCATAAATATATATATATATATATTCCAAAAAAGTTGGGACACTAAACAAATTGTGAATAAAAACTGAATGCAATGATGTGGAGATGGCAAATGTCAATATTTTATTCGTAATATAACATAAATCACAGATCAAAAGTTTAAACTGAGTAAATGTAACTCAGAATGTAAAGAAAAATATGTTGATTCAAGATTTCACAGTGTCAACAAATCCCAAAAAAGTTTGGACAAGTAGCAATAAGTGGCTGGAAAAAGGAAATTGAGCATATAACGAACAGCTGGAAGACCAATTAACACTAATTAGGTCAATTGACAACATGATTGGGTATAAAAAGAGCTTCTCAGAGTGTCAGTGTCTCTCAGAAGCCAAGATGGTAAGAGGATCACCAATTCCACCATTGTTGCGCAGAAAGATAGTGCAGCAATACCAGAGTGGTGTTACCCAGCGTAAAATAGCAAAGACTTTTAAGTTATCATAGACAACCGTGCATAACATCATCAAAAGATTCAGAGAATCTGGAACAATCGCTGTGCGTAAGGGTCAAGGCCGTAAAACTCTACTGGATGCTCGTGATCTCCGGGCCCTTAAACGTCACTGCACCTCAAACAGGAATGCCACTGTCAAGGAAATAACAGAATGGGCTCAGGAATACTTCCAGAAAGCATTGTCAGTGAACACAATCCACCGTGCCATCCGCCGTTGCCAGCTGAAACTCTACAGTGCAAAGAGGAAGCCATTTCTAAGCAAGCTCCACAAGCTCAGACGTTTGCACTGGGCCAGGGGTCATTTAAAATGGAGTGTGGCAAAATGGAAGACTGTTCTGTGGTCAGATGTGTCACGATTTGAAGTTCTTTATGGAACACTGGGACGCCGTGTCATCCGGACCAGAGAGGACAAGGATAGCCCAAGTTGTTATCAACGCTCCGTTCAGAAGCCTGCATCACTGATGGTATGGGGTTGCATGAGCGCTTGTGGCATGGGCAGCTTGCATGTCTGGAAAGGCACCATTAATGCAGAGAACTATGTTCAGGTTCTAGAACAACATATGCTCCCATCTAGACGTCATCTCTTTCAGGGAAGACCCTGCATTTTTCAACACGATAATACCAGACCACATTCTGCAGCAATCACAGCATCATGGCTACGTAGGAGAAGGATCCGGGTACTGACATGGCCAGCCTGCAGTCCAGATCTTTCACCTATAGAGAACATTTGGCGCATCATAAAGAGGAAGGTGCCACAAAGAAGGCCCAAGACGATTGAACAGTTAGAGGCCTGTATTAGACATGAATGGGAGAGCATTCCTATTTCTAAACTGGAGAAACTGGTCTCCTCTGTCCCCAGATGTCTGTTGAGTGTTGGAAGAAGAAGGGGGGATGCCACACAGTGATAAAAATGGACTTGTCCCAACTTTTTGGGAATTTGTTGACGCCATGAAATTTGGAAACAACAGATTTTTCCCTTAAAATGAAACATTCTCTCAGTTTAAACTTTTGATCTGTGATTTGTGTTCTATTCTGAATAAAATATTAGATGTTGGCACCTCCACATCATTGCATTCACTTTTTATTCACAATTTGTTTAGTGTCCCAACTTTTTTAGAATCCGGTTTGTATAAATATATGTATGTATGTATGTATGTATGTATGTATGTATGTATGTATGTATATGTATGTATGTATGTATATATATGTATGTATGTATGTATATATGTGTGTGTGTGTGTGTGTGTGTGTGTGTGTGTATATGTATGTGTATATATATGTATGTATGTATGTATATATGTATGTGTATGTATATATATATATATATGTATGTATGTGTATGTAACAGCCCGTATCAAAGGGCCCGATACCCCATACTTCCAGAGTACCCCCCACAGGGTTCCCCGAGGGACGCGGTCGAACGCTTTCTCCAAGTCCACAAAGCACATGTAGACCAGTTGGGCAAACTCCCACGCACCCTCCAGGACCCTGCTGAGAGTGTAGAGCTGGTCCAGTGTTCCACGGCCAGGACGAAAACCACACTGCTCCTCCTGAATCCGAGGTTTGACTATCCGACGGACCCTCCTCTCCAGAACCCCCGAGTAGACATTACCAGGGAGGCTTAAGAGCGTGATTCCCCTGTAGTTGAAACACACTCTACGGTCCCCCTTTTTTGAATAGGGGGACCACCACCCCGGTCTGCCAATCCAGGGGAACTTCCCCCGATGTCCACGCAATATTGCAGAGTCACGTAAGCCAACAACCCTACAACATCCAGAGCCTTAAGGAACTCTGGACGAATCTCGTCCACCCCTGGGGCCCTGCCACCGAGGAGTTTTTTAACCACCTCGGTGACCTCGGCACCAGAGATTGGAGGCCCTGACCCTTAGTCCCCAGGCTCCGCTTCCTCAGTGGAAGACGTGCCGGTGGAATTGAGGAGGTCTTCAAAGTATTCCGCCCACCGACCCACAACATCCCGAGTTGAGGTCAGCAGCACACCACTCCCACTATAAACAGTGTTGTTGGTGTACCGCTTTCCCCGCCTGAGACGCCGGATGGTGGACCAGAATCGCCTCGAAGCTGTGCAGTAGTCATTCTCCATGGCCTCTCCGAACTCCTCCCATGCCCGAGTTTTTGCCTCAGCGACCACCCGAGCCGCATGTCGCTTGGACTGCCGGTACCCATCAGCTGCTTCCGGGGTCCCACAGGCCAAAAAGGCCTGATAGGTCTCCTTCTTCAGCCTGACAGCGACATGAACCAGTTTTTCTGCATCATTTTTAGATCAGATGTTTCTAATGTTAGTGATATTACGCAGGTGGAAGAAGGTGGTTCTAGTAATATTTTTAATGTGGGGGATAAAAGACATGTCCTGATCAAAAATAACACCAAGATTTTTAACATTAGAGCTGGAGGACAGATTAATGCCATCCAGAGGAAGTGAGTGTTTTGCTGCCGAACTGATCCTAGGTTTTTACCAGAACGTCTCTAACGTTCACTTCCTTTGACAAATGCCTCCTGAGGTAGACCGCTCACATCTGGTGTCTTCAAGCAGCTCGTTATGTTCCTGTGTGAGTTCAAATCAAACAAATATTGAAATGTGCTCCTTCTGGTTCTGACAGTTTTGATGAGAACATCTGAAGGTTGCTTATTTCCCAGAGAAACGATGTTCTGCCTGGGACTGTGTTTAAATGCGTTGTTTCCCTCAGGAGATCTGAACCAACCCAACATGTGATGCATCTCCTTCTGCAGATCCAACAGTGTCTTCTCTTGGTGGAACGCTGCTGAGTGACTCTTCTCTTATGTGTGTTTGTGGTCTGCAGACGGAATCCCCTTCACTTCCACTTCATCACAGACTCCATTGCTCAGCAGATTCTGTCCTCCTTGTTCCACACATGGATGGTTCCTGCTGTCAAGGTGAACTTCTATGACGCTGACGAGCTGAAGGTGAGGAACACTCCCACAGCTTCTGTAAACTGAAATGTTTGGAAGAAGCCTCTGATCCAGCTCTGTCTGCTGTGACCTCTCAGTCCGAAGTGTCCTGGATCCCTAACAAGCATTACTCGGGGATCTACGGTCTGATGAAACTGGTCCTCACCAAGACGCTGCCCTCACACCTGCAGAAGGTCATCGTTCTGGACACTGACATCACATTCGCCACAGACATCGCTGAGCTCTGGGCCGTCTTCCACAAGTTCAGAGGTAAATGTTTCGCAAGGCTGCTGGGCCTGACGCTCACAATCTAGTCACGATCCGGTCAGGATCCAGCCATGATCCAGCCATGATCCAGTCACGATCCGGTCAAGATCCAGTGATGATCCAGTCAGAATCTGGTCTGGATCCAGCCATGATCCAGTCAGGATCTGGTCAGGATCCAGTGATGATCCAGTCAGGATCTGGTCTGGATCCAGCCATGATCCAGCCATGATCTAGTCACGATCCGGTCAGGATCCAGCCATGATCCAGTCACGATCCGGTCAGGATCCAGTGATGATCCAGTCAGAATCTGGTCTGGATCCAGCCATGATCCAGTCGGGATCCAGTCATGATCTGGTCAGGATCCAGTGATGATCCAGTCAGGATCTGGTCTGGATCCAGCCATGATCCAGTCACGATCTGGTCATGATTTTTATTACACAACCTATTAAACACTTTATACAACATCAGTTTAGTTTTAACAAAGACTAAACTGATGTAACCAGAAGTTACAACACGTATTTAAATTTAAAACACACAAAACAAGACACAGCTAGTTTTAAGCATTAACCTTTAATTTAACCATTAAGCATACAATGTAAATATGGAGGATTGACCTGCAGTTACCTTCGTACAGGTGAACATGTGCTACTTCCTGTTTATAGCTGTTATAATCAGCTGATCATGAGGTCGACCGCTGGCCTTTATCATCTTTTATGTCTTTTCCAAACTTGGTCCCTGCTGACAACGTTCAAACGTTGTTTTCTGATGATTCTTCATGAAATCCGTCTGACAGCAAACGTCCGTGGAGCAAAACCCTGATGGGCTGCAGCACCTGCAGGTAAAAGGTGTTTACCTTCAGGACAAATCAAGTTCACCGATTGGTCAGTTGCTGACACGCCTACTGGGTTGATTGACAGGTGGCCTTGAGGATATGTCTCATATAAAAAAACAATAAAAATAAAACTAGAGATGCCAGTGGAGGGAGGGCGGCCCTGGGTGGAGGCGGGGAGGCCCTGGGTGGAGGCGGGGAGGCCCTGGGTGGAGGCGGGGCGGCCCTGGGTGGAGGCGGGGCGGCCC